TTGCCAGCCTCGATCAGTTTCTAGCGAGTCTTCGGTCTAAATGGCTCCGCAGTCATATAGAGACGATTATGTTTGTTGGGGGACTTGGATAAGCAAGTTTGTGAAGAAACCCCAGCAACAGATTTCACGATAGGAGACAACTGATCTGAAGTGATGAACTCAATCTGAGCGTCTACTGTCCTTCAAGTCTTTCAAACAGATCTCAACATGGAGCTCGCCACAACCAGCAATGATGTGTTCTCCAGAATCCTCGTTGTGCCAAACGACAAGAGGATCTGATTTCGCAAGTTTTCTTGAGACCATCGACAAGTTTTGGCAATTCCTTCTGGTCCTTTGGTGTGACCGCCACTCTGACAACAGGAGACACGGAGTACTTCATATCCGCGATATTATGCGCATCATCAAATGTCGTGATGGTTCCAGATTTAAGCAAATACTGATCCACACCTGAAAAGAAAAACGTTCAACCAGCCCAAGACGACGGAAAGACTTACCAACAAGACCGACGGTGTTTCCGCAAGGAACATCGTTAACTTTCTCGACATAGCGCCCCATCATGAGAATCGTTCGTTGGATATTCTTGATGTTGAGATCATCCTTGGAGCCAGGAGTGTAGTGGGGTCCTTGGATGCGAACTTTCTGTCCGGTCGACACCGTTCCAGAGAACACGCGACCAAAAAGCGTAGAAGCGTCCCTTATCGGATGTCGGAACCATTTTCGAGATGTACATCATAAGAGGAGCGTTGGGATCGCAGTTTCTGATACCATTCGCTGCAGCATCGTCCATTGGACCTTCATACAAGTTCTCGACACGATACTTCTGGGCAATAACTGGGATGGAATGAGTGACAATCATCTCGAGAAGTGTGTCTCCAGCACTGAGCCAGAGTTGCATCACACGCTTCAGAAGAGTGTTTGCCGGTGAGAGTCTTGTCTTCGCCCTTCAATTCGACGCCACAGAAAACAAGCATTTTCTCGTATTGTTGGTTTGTCGTCATTCATAATGGAGGTGAAGAGGGTGCAAATGGATCCATGATGAACTGACAGAAAGCACGGTTCGAATCCTCATCCTTGTTCTTGCTGAAAGTTTTCTTCTTCGGGTTGAAGAAACAATCTCCCCAGAGACGTTGCATCATTCTCTCTTCTCAACACCAAACTTTTTCGCGTAGATGCGAGCAAACTTCTCAATGGTAAAGGCCCATCCGTGAAGACCAGATCCCAAATGAAACTGTTCCCTTCTCTGGATAAACTTGAACGTCTCCCATGAGGGCGTCGTTGTAAGTGGCGATGATCACATTGACATTTTCGATTGTTCTGTTGAATGTTTGATAGATTTCCTCAGACTCCATCATCAATTCAAGAAGACGCGATCAACTTTATTGACATGAAGAACTGGTTTGATACGTTCTTGAAGAGCTTGACGTAAGACGGTTTCAGTCTGGACGCAGACACCTTCAACGGTATCAACAACAACAAGGGCGCCATCAGTGACACGGAGAGCTGCAGTGACTTCAGATGAGAATACAACATGCCGCGGTGAATCGATAAGATTGATCAAGAAAGCTTGCTTGCCGCGGCCATCTTCATATCGTGTTCGAAATAGAGCGAGATACCCGTCGACTTGATGGTGATGCACCGCTCCTGTTCATCAGCACGAGTATCAGTGAAGCGAGCGTCACCGGCGTTCTTCGCAGCAATGATTCCAGCTTTTGATACTAAGGAGTCAGTCAATGTTGACTTGCCATGATCGACATGAGCGATGACAGACATGTTGCGAATATTCACGGGGTTCCCCATGATAATCGCGCACTTCTTCGATCGTGAAGTTCACCTAAAAGAAGAAGGATGGAAGCCATGAGAGAAGAAAGATTTGCGTACCATTTTCTACAGCAAAAAAGAAAATCCTGAAGAAGTAAAAACAGGTCTTGTCAACAAAGCAACCTCAGGAGCAATGTCTGTGCTACTGAATGCCCCAGAAGGGAACGGCCACCTAACGGCCACATGCGGTGTGTGTTTGTGCGTTCAATGAAAAATATAAAAAGGTTCATTCAGCTGCTGGGGGTATTGGGGAAATAATTGTTGTTGATGGATATTCCCGCTTCGGTATTAGAGAAAGAAGGAATTTTTCCAATTCTGTTGGTTGAATTCCAAACGGGTTAGGAATACGAACATTCGTGAGGTCAGATTGACTTGCCATATATATGTGAAGCGGCCGACCGTGATTGCGTATTGAAAAACACGTTGACCAAACTCATCTAGAAAATCCACAGCGAATCCGACATTACGCGTTTGTAGACGCGCTGATGCCTGCGGTACTCCATCGTCGCCTACTCCAAAGCCAATCTGAAGAACAAAGAGAATTCAACAATATGCTTTGTTCTTCAACAATAGACACAAAGCAATCACGCTTTTGACAAACCTGTGCGAAGAGTCGGTTTAATTTTCCAAATCCTGTCCCCAACGAATGTTGACAAAGAATATTCATCAGGAAAATCTGACTCCATGGCTAATTGCCACCCTCGACCCCAATTAGCTTGAGCCACTATATTGGAAGAGAAAGTGAATAGAATAAAATCAATATCGCTTACGGGACAGAAAGTTATCAAAGTCATGGAGAAACGCAACATTGTACCCGCGCACTCCGATTGTCAATCCAAAACGTTTTTCACGAATATCGTTGGCAAGAGCAGCAGTAACACCTTTGTATGCGACCAATACTTCAGTCCCAAATCCAGTATCCGTTGGGTAAAAATAATCGTCAAAATCATGACGTACACTGATCTCAAAATCCGTATCTTCAATCGCTGACCAAATTTCGGTCAACGAAATCGATCAGTGTTCCACTTTCTACACCACGCGCCAGAATCTCAACTGCAGTTGCTCTGTAGTTCTGGGATCGATCCACATTCACTCCATAAGGCCCGAGAGCTAATCCAAATCCAAGTTCTTGTCGAATTTCGTTATACGATAAAGAAGTGATAAGATTTCTCCATCCAGTAGAAAACGCGAGTTCTTCTTGTACAGCGCTAACACCCTAAAAGGCAAAATGGATAAACTGCATCCATAATCAAGAACTTACCGATTGAACAAATCCTAAATCATTTCCGACTTGAACTTCTTCTGTTCTTTCAAACTTATCTCGCGCCCACTCAGCAATCCAGGGTCCATAACTGACCAAATTGACTGCACGGTAGATTGACGTTTGACTCAATGGGACATCACGTCCAATACCAAGTCCCAATATTCCTCGATTTCTTTTAGCTGGAACCCCCGGGCTTCTAAGCGCTCCTCTATTGTAGGTCATTGATTCCCATTCGTTATCAACATCAGAATTCGAAGCTTGAACAATATTCATTGCTTCAAGAGATTTACGATCTTCATCGTGACTCTCTTCATCGTGACTCTCTTCATCGTGACTTCTCATCGTGACTCTCTTCGGATCATCTTCATCTCCCCATAACTCTTTTTCTTGTAATTCAACAACATCCATATCATGATGAACGACATAATTACGAAACATGAATGGCTGATCTGTTTTCGTCTCGTTTCCTTGTTTTGCTTCTAGTTTGCGTTGATTTAACTCAGAAATAGAAACCCATTCTGATTTAACAGGAATCGCGTCATCCGTTGCTTTCAATCGTCGGTTGGAATATGGCAACAAAATCAGTCGATGAGACGAAAGGCTTTCAACAAGATTCGTTGATAGTTTTCGCCAACGTCGTCGTCCCCTTTCGTCTTTCGATCTTTCTTCTCAATGGCTTTTCATCAGATTCTTGATGCTTTTTCCTCACTTTTCGATAACTCACTTTCCATCCATCATCCAATTCTATCATCGAACTGCTCTGACTGCTCAAATCATGTTGACTGCCAACATCATTACTCCTTCCCTTGACGACTGTTCCATCCAATTGATCTTTTCCCCTTCCATTACTATCATTATGCATTTCTAATATTTTATCAATTTGAGAGTTCAAAATAGACCGATTCTCCGATTCAATACCAACCATATTATCCCTCACACCACATTCTATTTTTACTTTTCCATTAACAGCTTCAACTTTTTCTGATGGACAATCTTCCCAATTTCGTTTCACTTCCACGCCTTCACTCCTTTCAACAACTTCATTGGAAGCCCCGTCATCATCATTGAATCCAACCCAATTCAAATTTCTCTTCTTTTCTTGATTCCCTAGAAGCTTTCCAATTTCTTCATCCAATTTTGTGTTCCCCTTTCCTTCATTTAAAATTGATTCTAATGATCTAGAATCCTCTGCTCCGTCGATCTCAAACCGCTTGTATTCCTTCAACGAACTTTTCATTTCTGGAGAAGTTCCACAATGCGCGTTCATGTCGAGCAATTCTCGTCCATACAACGCCATTCGACACGCTAGTCGGAATTTACTGGACGAATTCGAAATCCATGGAACACTCTTTCGGTCAGCAACGAGAGAAGCAACAAGGCGATTCACTTCAAAGCCAGGAACACACGAATTCTGACACATTGCGTTGTTCTCTCCAAGGCTTCCACTTTCTACAGATTCAATAAGAAGTTGCCAATCAGACGAAGTTGGACAACCATCTTCAATGAGTTGATGAGTTTCATTCTTGAGTTCTTCTGTTGGCTGCAAGTGACAATTCACAGGAAATGCGAATCGATCTTTCATTAGAATTGTTTGCGTTTGGAATCGGAGACGAACTTCATGGATAGAATTTTGCGAGATCGGGGACTCTGATTGACTTTCAGTCTCTTCAATATTTAATAGCTCTACAGAAACAAGACGAGAAAGACCGTCCTCAACAGAACTGAGAAGCCCTTCTGAAGTCTGATGAGAAGCATTGTTTGTGCTTGAAGAGAAGCGTTCTATGTCATGAAAACTGGTTACGATGTCAAGGGTCTCCTGTTGGGTTGTGACATCATCGAAATCAAAATGAAAGGTTGAAGTACAGCGAGACGAACTTATTGAGCAGCTGCAAACAACCTTGAAGGGATTGAAGGGTTCAGGTGCAACAAAGTAGCCAATTCGATAGAAGAATGCAGAATCAGAACTGTTGCTGTTTCGTGGTGAGAAGAACTGAGACTTACAGTCTTCCCAAATGATGTGGCCTTGAAAAACAACCATCACATCACCACCAGAAGAAGGAAGAGTGATAGTTTCAAGGCGCTTCCAGCATTGGAAGGGCCGCTTGAAACGGGGGCGGTTGATGGGAGATCGTTTTGAACGTCGCTTTGTTTTTAAGGATTGATATGTTGGTGGAGTTGTTTTTTTTGGAAAAGTTTGAAGTGTGTTGTTGCTGATGAGCACGACGATTTCTTGATCAGTGCAACCCGCTAATTGGACAAGATCTGAGACGGAACCACTTGAGAAAAGAGTTGGAGGGAGAGATTGAATCGATTGTGAAGTTGAATTATTGGTGAACTGCAACAAAACGAAAGTAAAACAGAAAATCAGAGACCAAAAGAGATAACAACGCAGGCCCATGCAATAAATTCCATTCTGAGGGAAAAAGCGCAAAAAAGCCCGAAATTAAAATTGGCAGACCGGAATCATTGCTGGAATTCGCTCTAATAGAGCAGGCCTGAAGCGAGGAAATTGGCGTCTGCAGATCACGGAGAGGGAGGGGCGGCACTACTGAGGAGGTGGCGCCGGTGCATCGTCAGGAAGAGGAGCGGAAGGCTCCGATGGCGGTGCTGCAGCAGCAGCAGCAGCAGGAGGAAGAGTTGCCTGTTGGGGAACATCCTGGCCGTTCATGCTTGCATACGCGTTTTGATAAGGAGTTTGATTGGAGTAACTTCCATAACCAGAATAGCCACCAGCAGTAGTTCCATAATATGCTGCCATCATTGCCCATGCTGCTGGGTTCATATAGGAATTCATAGCTGCCATCATTGCATTCGAGTCTTGAGTATTCCCTCCATATCCATAAGCAGCAGCAGCTTGTTGTGTGTACATCATCATTGCGGCAGCATCATGATAACCAGATGAGGGATCGTAGGGTTGAGCTGGTGGGGGAGGAATTGATCGGGATGAGCCAGGACTCGTTCCTGAGAAAAACATATTTAAAAAATAGAGAAAATTGGAACGAACCTGGAGGTGGTGTTGAAGCAGATGTTGCTCCGATGCCAGGCCTCGGCCTTGAATAAGACAACGTCTCTTCAACAACCGGCCTGGTCCCAGAGAGCTGGGACATGAACGAAGAAAATTCCTGAAAACAACAAGGGAAGAAACTGAGACAGTTTCAATTTTCAAAGCAACTGACTTGATCCAATCTCTGCGAATCCATCGTTCCTTGCTTCGAAGCACCAGATCCACCAAAGTGGGAAGGACCTCCAGTCGCAATTCCCTGTGCTTTTTTCTCTATTTCTGCTAATTGTTCACTCGATAATCCTCGTGCTAATTTACAATCCATTGTGACGTGACCCTTGTCACCGCACAATGCACATTTCTGTAACAAGGAGAACCAATTTCTATTTGATTCTATCTTTCTATGTAATACTCACAACTTCCGCTTTCTTAAATGATTGGAAATTCTGATCAGGACATTCCCACGATAAATGTCCTGTTCCACCACACACGCTGCATCGTGCCTCAATCTTATTCATAGCAACACCATTCACTAATGCAAGTTGTTCCAATCCCTTCTTCTTGAATTCTTCATGCATTGGATGGAATGGATTCAATAGAGGCTCAATCAGAGAAACAGCTTTCTAACAAATAAAAACTGATAAGAAATTCGAATAACATTAAATCGTTTTACCTCAATCTGTTCATCCGTATCTGCTGCAATATGAATGTGTTGAGGCATTGCTGCTTCCTCCTCAGTCTGATGATCTGTTTTTTTTTCCCTCTTTTTGAGTTCCACGTCCACGAATAGAAATTTGAGCACCACTTTCACTCTCTAACCTCTTATGGTTACACCCACGCGGACCAATAATCAATCCCATGAAGTTATACTCTGGATACTGAAACAACAAATAGTCCGTTATTGAGTGGTTTGTCAAAATGGTAGGCAAGCTCAACTCACCTTCTCTTGAGGAATGATTATCTTCTTCATCTTCTTCAATGGTTTAAAATCAGCAGGGGGCAAGAATCCAGGAACAGTCTTCGTGACATATTCCAATAAACGTTGATGCTCAGACACCATTGCGTTTCTAACTCTCACATCTCTTGTGTTTGTCCTGTTGCCGTTTTTATCGTAAGATGGAGGAGGGCTTGGAGGCCGGATGTCTGGATCACCAAATTCAAGTTCACCCTTCTCCAATTTCAATGATAATTCATCAAGCCTCTGCTCGCGCAAAAACTGATCTACCTGAAAGTAAAAAGTTGCAACAAGTTTGAGTTCACGTCTTTTACTTGGAGTGGCGTTAAACCAGGAGGAAGATCGATGAATGGAGGCGGAAGGTAGGGTTTATCCTAATAACAAAGAATGAGATTGGATAACGAAGACTGAGATTGGATAACAAAGAATGAGTTGGATAACGAAGAACGACAAAGAATTGACTTTGGTTCAAACATCTGTCGCCTTTGCAAGTTCAATGAACAACTTCACTACTATTTACCTCTTTTGGTCCGAATCTTGACTTTTTACTTTTCGGTGCGGACGGTCTTTCCCACCTTGACTTCCTTCCAGTCCCTGTGGTTGTCGCTATGGCTGTTGCGGCCTCAATTGGCACTAGTGCCATCAACTGATCCATCGACATCGTCTTAATGCACTGAACCTTTTGTGCCTAGTTGCCTACTGTCTTAGTAATGAATTGGGACATTTGATTGGAGGAGGAAAACAAAAAATAAAATGATTACGAACGATGCATTTGACTTCGATAACTTTGAAAATTCGTAAATTCTGAATGAATTTCTTGAAATTTGTTCCTCATTTGTTCATTCATATCGAAGAATAAATGTTTTTTAAATTGTTCGTCAAGAGTTTCTAAAAGGGGATTTAATCCTGATTTGAGCGTCTTCAATACTTGAAGCCATCCGCGCCCTGCAAAGGTTTCACAATATTGGGACAGCTTCGATAACTCGTACCTTCATCCTCAATGAACGACCGACATTCCCCTTTAAATTGATTTGTTCTTCGTAATGCTGCTTCAAGAAGTGTTGATCGCGATGTAATTGCACCTTGACTCAAACCAGATGCTATCACTTCTACGATAATACGGGAAGTCCCTCTTCGTAAGACTGCTGAGGCACAGCCCTCTGACGCGAATAAAATGCTCCATAGGTGGGTCAATTTTCTCGCCATCTGCAATGCCAGCCTGAAAAAAAAAACATGAACTACGAGCACCAATGAAAAAAGTGTTACCGATGTGAAGGCATCTGTAGCGTGCAATGAATCAGAGTTGCAAAAATATGTTGAATTTGAGAGATACGCTTCCATAGGAAATGATGTAACGATGTGACAACTGGGGATGTCTCTCTGCAAAGATCGCGACGAACAGTAATCGCAGAGGAGAGAGTGAAAGATGTTAAACTGCCGAGGAGTTCAATTGAAAGAAGCAATCCAACAAACAATCGCCCCATTTCTTTCGAAATTTCAGTGAGACCATTTATATGCTCAAGGAGATCATTTGTAATTGCCAACCTGTAAAGCGAACTAAGCGACGAAGTAAGATTTATTGAACTCACGATTTTTCTAACATTTGCGATCCGATTGTTCCAACTCAAGCAGTTCCACAACCAGGGTTTTTTGCCAAAGCCCTAAAAATTGAAATTAACAAACAATACAATGATAATGCTGCTTACCATCAGAATCTGCTGTTGCAATGCATCGTTTCATCGTATCCTGAATATTTGCAGCTAATTGAACAACGCGTGAAAATTGAAGTGCCCATAGAAGAAGGGATCCAACTTCTGATGCACAGACATATTGACGAGTTTTCTTCATCCGCTCTTCTTTAAAAATCTTCAATTTCTCAATCTGATTCACAACAACAGCTTTCAATGCCTTCACCAATAAGGATGCAACGCCGCTTCCCAATAAGACTGTTTCGTCATTCTTTGTCTTGGGAAAAAGTTTTCGAAAAATTCGAGTGAATATTGTGCGATTCCTCGTCAATGCGCAGCAAGTATCGATGAATGCAAATTCGTCTGGAGTGAGTCGATCGGATTCCTGATTTGGGACAAAGGTCAAAAGCATCCCAAAGAGATTCAACATTTCTGAGGGTGAAATTTGAGAGGCTAATGAGATCCACAATCGATCCATTGATGTTGATGAATTTTGTTCTAAATGAACGGAGTAATCAACGAGTGAGAGTGAAGTGCGACTCAACCAATTGAAGGAATATTTGCAATTGCTGAAAATCTCCTTTATCTAAATGATGAAGACGATTGATATGGAGCGATAACTCATTTGATGAAAAATCAAAAGCTGAGCGAAGAACTGAAGATGCCATTGATTCCCATTCGTTCCCCTCAAGACAAAGAAGTTGAAGAACAGTTTGAAGCAGATTCTGATACCTCAAACCTTTCGCTTGATCAAGTGAAGCTGTTTCATCAAAGAATGATTTTGGCTTAATGTTTGATACAACAGTTACAAAATTGTTGATAAATTCCGTTTCTCCTTCTTTCATGTTTCCACAATCAACGAAGCAGAAATGTCCCTCTTCAACGGAATCGGGGAGTTGTTGTGTTTGAGATCGTCGCTCAAGAATCCGTTGCGCGATTGAAATAAGAATTAATAAAACAGAATCAAACGAACAGCGAATCAGAAATCTTTCAGAAAGTTCTGATTGTGAGGCTTCATCCCGTTGGGACAGTCTCACCACTCGGGACAATCCCTTAATAGAGTCCCAATCAATGTTGATGTTCATCGCAAAGAGGGAAGCTATTTGGATCTCATCAGAAAAAAGCGACGCCGTTGCGTTGAGTGACGCGATTTCAGCGATTCTGACTGGACGATGAGCGAGTGGCTGAGTAACACCAGGATCAGGTACAGAGGGGAGAAGAGGGGGAGAGATTTAACGCGAATCTTGACTTCCGGAATATGCTGCTGGAACCTTTTATTGCAACGCGAAGAAATGGGGAGCAGAGAGCTTGAATTGATTCCAATAATAGCCGCACTGATTGGTGGGAATCATTAGGGTTATCGCTGAAATCGCGCAACATTTGTGTTACGCATGCGGTGAAGGTTGAGGGATAGACGTGAGTGAGTAGATGGATCAGCAAACTGTTGTCAATTGAATGATCAATTGATACAAGAAATCTCGAAATATTGAGAGATGACGAATGCAACGCAGTGATGACGACGCCAGAGGGATCAAATGGAAGAAGTCGATGAAGCAGTTGGACGGAATAAACACAGCAGAGAGCTACAAGAAGGGGAAATTGATCTATGGGTAGACCTGCAGCCAGACACTCCGCTGTACTACTGTGAAGAGATGCGAGACAGATCAGTAAACCATGTTTTGTTGACGCATCCGCAGTGATAGATGCAAATAAACGATCATGACAAGATGAAAGCATGAGAAGGAAAGAACAGACATCCCTTGCGCAATCGATAAGACACGCAATTGGAATAGAATGTGGTTCATCTGATGATTTGCTGATGTCGTTGAATTTGAAGGATTCCTGCAACGTTTTTACAAATTGGCGTCCCAAAAGCGAAAGAACGTCATGGTGGCACATTTCGGGTAAATCCTGATACAAATTTTCAATTGATCTTGCCAACTTGGAAGAGTAGCAATGAATCATTTTCAAAGCATCAATTGAATTCAAATTCATCAGAAGAGGAAATTCAATTTCCTCCCATGCGACAGACAAAGACCGACTCAAGACAGAAGACAGCAACTCAGAAGATTTTTCGATTTTTCCAATTGTTTTTCTTTTTTTTCTTTTTGGATCAATTTCAGTTGAATCTCTCGTGCGTTTCATTCCATTCCAAAATAAAACTTTCAAATCGGATGAAGAAGATTTCCAAAGAAGTTTCTGCAATTCCTTGATCGTCACTTCGAACTGTGTGGCTGGATCTGAAACCTCCTCCAATATTCTGCTGAACGCCTTTATAAGACTCTTCGTAGAGACTAAATTAGGGGAGAAGTAATCGGGGTACAGATCTTGCAAGTGAACCAGATGCCCCAGTGAACCCACGAGCCTTTCAATCGAACCGGAGTACATCAGCGCCTTCAAGTGCTGGATTATTGGAGCGTCGTCTGCTACCGAAGAAGCACGAGAGTCGGCCAATTTTTCGAAGATGTGATACAAACAGTTGGCACACCACCCAACGATTCGAACACTTGATTCTCTGATTTTTGTCGCGACAACAGGATTTTGAAAAAGAACACCCTGATCGTCTTCTATCATTTCTTCATCGGCGCTGTTTTCTGCGACCTCTCTCTTCTGCAAAACCGTCAAACACCCTGGCAGCAACCAACTGTCAATTTTACGATACCCAACGAGTTGAGATTCTAGCAAGGCGATGAACGCGGTTCCAACCAGTCCCGAGAGTTCATCCATCGTTATGCTATTTGGATACGATAGAAACTCTTCTTCCTCGGAGAGCTTTGGCAAATGGAGAGAAACTAGATCCACCCAAGAGGATGTGAAAGCCTCCAAGCGTGCGAGAAGAGAAACAAGGGGCCGGAAAAGCGTTTCCTTCATTTGTGTTTGTCGAACAAATTGAGAAACTAGAACACACAATGATGACATGTTGATGTTTCTGGATTCATTAGATGAAGCACTTCCACTTTTCATCTTGTGACGAATTCGCTGTGCTACAATTTTCTCGGCTTGTTGTTCTAACAATTGAATCCACACTTCCAATAAATGAACAACTTGGGCTGTTGGTATCGATGTTGCGATGGACTGAATACCATCCAGGAGAATTGGATCACAGAGGAATTCAAGCGTCATTTCTTCCGTGTCTCCCTGCAATTCAATGAACGATCCTAATGCTTTAATAAGAGACTCAAGATCTGCAAGCTGCACCAGAATCCGCATAAGAAACGCCAAAAATTTCACTCTGAACAGAATTGGGATAAAATGAAGTCGTCAGTGCACTTCCTCCTTACCCATCAGTCCCATAGAGCTTCGTACTCCTGCTCGGATACTCAATGGCAACACATGCAAGAATGGGAACCAATTTCTCGCTGATAATCACGGATGGATCTGTCCGACAAATCTCTCTTAAATTCGACCAAAGTGCTGATTTGACGCTTTCTTGTAATACGACCGTGTTTGCTAAATCAAAGTTGAAGCCCCTCAACTTCCTCAGAGATGTTTCTGATTGGAGTTTCAAAAATCGAACGAGAGGCTGAACTAGAGATTCCTTCGGTCGATAAAGATTGAAATTTCTCATATTAGAGATCAAAGAATTCAACGCCTCAATGCCGCTCAGCTCGCGCAAAAAATCAAGCGTTGAAGGAATTCTCGTTGAACTCTCGCTCCCGCCAAAAAGCGACAAATAAATTGGGTTCAGCAGCCAGAGATGGAAGGCTGTCTGAATCCAGATTGGCGACTTTTTTTTCGATTTGATTGCTTCATTGGATAAATCAGTGAATTTTTTATCAGATGTGAGTCTAGAATTTTGCAGGAATAACGCTGCGATATGAGGAGATAACTTTGACATGCCGAGAAATGAGAAAAGATGTGATCGAGATTGAACCGCTTCCGAAGAAAGAGTTAATGACTGATGAATCAGGGAGAGCAGAGAAACTTGCCAACCTTTGGAGGTCAGTTTGAGTGAAGGAATGGGAAATTGAGTGTCGGGTTGCAGTTGAAGAGTGTTAAGGAAACCCTGGAAAGCCTCAATATTCAACTTATTGAAACAAACGTCATCAAGAATTTCCATGATAGAATCTTCAAGGCCCTTAGAGATCAACACAAATGCTTCGGATAAAGGCTTCGCTCTGACGATTAACTCATCGGCGGCGTCTCCTTCTAACAGTATTGATTGCAACCACCGCTTTAAGCCAAGAGAAGCGCCAAGTAATGGCAAAAGGGCATCTTTTAATAATTTGGTTGTTGCTAAATTGAAGGCTTTTCTCTGAGGTAACTGAGTTAGCGCTCGAGAATTGTGCCGGCAGAGTAGCGCACATGAAATAAGGATGACTTCGAAGGAACCTGTTCGTTCAGAGAAAGTGGTGCCGAGAAAGGGGCTGTCGTCACTATCAGGGACACTGGCAAAGAATGCTGGAAGTTGGCGAGGTTGAAATTCAATGGCGTCAAAAGTAGGATTGAAGTAGTCACGAAGCAGACTGGACGCAATGGAAATAATGATGTTGATGAGATGATCTGCTAAGTCGTGAGGAACGTCAACTGAAGAATGACATTGAAGCAGAAGAAATTGCTTGGTTTGGGTGATGCAACGTAGATCATCAGATTTCTGTGCCAGGATTGAATAACAAAGCTCCAAACCCTTCATCCAGATCGTGGGGGGAATCGTTAACCCTTTTACTCCTAGACCAGACCGAAGAGCTGCAGTCATCGATGTGAAGTGAAGGAGGAGCTCATCAAGATCCGTCGATTTGAACTTCTGCGTCGAAAGCGCAGCATCCAGCAAACGAGCTTTCCAGGATTCATTCTCCATCGTTGACGCCATCCTGGAACGGGCCTGAATCCTGCAGAAGGGGCCCAGAACTGGATGTCTGTATGGCAATTTTCCCTGGCTTGTGCTGTAATCATGGCAAAATTGCTAGCGAGAACCCAAAACTAATTCGTCAGGTGGTGACACATGTTCTAACCCTGCACTTGATCTCTTGTCTAGATTTGGTTAAAAAACAGTGATTAGAACAAAGCAAGCATAAATAAGGGCGATTGGGTAGGCAACGAGAAAACGTTGATGATGCATTTGCAAGGCCTACCAGAAAGTGAACACAACGAATACGCAACAGTATGGCCCCCCACATCTCGCATGTCTTGGCTGTGCATATATCAATCTCACCGTCTCGAAAAATCTAGAGGCGGTTGCTGTGCACCAAGTGACACAAAATATCGAGAGAATTGTCCCAATGAAATTTCTGATTAATAAGATGAAATTGGAGAAAACATTTTGGAACTCACCGCAGGGAAACGAAGATCGAAATGAGGGCGAGCATATCAACTGGTAACAATGCGTAGCCTAGAATGCTTGTCGTGCGATAAAGATCAATTCCCTCTTGCTATAAAACAGACGGATGATCCAGATAGTATCTGATAGACGACTACCTGGCTCATCAGATTCAACAAAACACACATGCATAATACACTCGTGACGCTCAATCCGTAAATGTAAGCGAAATGGATCTTTCCAGCCTGAAAAAAAAGAATAATGTGGAAGAAGACTGAATGATCATACGACCCACAAGAAGTAAACAGCAGCCAAAACATGCAGCAATGAAAACGGGTCCACACATATCCACGTCAACAAGAAGATCATGATCCAATCTGAAAAAAGAGATTCATGAAATGCACCTAAAATGAAACGCCCACCTGTAGAAAAGCAAGGATGCTTTCATTCGCTTCACTATATGATCAGGATTGATTCCTAATTCTGATAAAAAACAATGATTTAATACAACGATTCCAATTAATACCTTCAAGCAGCGGCGGTTCATCTTCAAAATCATCATCGCGATATTCTGTTGTTTCTTTGAACTCTGAAGCTCTCAGTTGACCAGCAAGAGAACCTCCCAAGTGACCACTTAAAGGATCCTTCCCCAATCCTTCTCCAGAAGACGGTATATACGAGGTTGGCCGCACTACTGGCCCAAGAGAAGACGTGGAATGACGGAATTGTTGCACTGGTTGTTGGCCATACAGGGGTGGATCTGCTTGAGTGACGTTTCCATACGTTGGCCCCTGTGTTGCATATGTGGCATCATCGGATCGGAGTGGTGCCCCTCTTTGTTCTTCCATCATTGCATCAAATCCAACTCCGATTCCAGCGCGATGTCCACTAGAAAGCGCGGACGTTCTTGGGAGTTGACGAACACTCTCAGTTGCTGAAACGCGTTGAACATTGACGCCTTGGAAAGGAAAACCAATAGAGGATCCTGGTCTTGGAGTTGGACGGGCGCTAGGAACTACATTTGAAGGGATTGGGGTTGTGGAATGAGGATGCCGACTATAAGTGGAGGATTGCCACTGAGGATTGTTTTCGGAGGACATCCCCATAAATCAACATATGTTAAAAGGACCACAGAGTTGACCTGGATCCCCAGTATGGAGAAAACAAGTGATCGATCAAAAGACACAACATCCTCTACAGCCCCAGAAGATCAGAAGAAATTCGCTGTTGGCGAGTTTATCTCATACACAGAGAACGCCCCCGTTATCAAAACTTTTCTCCTTTATTCCATCGCAATTGCATTGGGACCTATTGCTGCCTTTTATGGTGCTCAACAGATTTCATTAAAGTTTCCTGGTGTTTCGGATGGATCTGTTATTGGTTTAATTGCTTCTCTTATTGTGATTCTTTCATTAATGGGATCGTACGCTTATCAAGCCTATCAAGAAGAAAAGCGGGACTATTTCGAGGCGCATCCTGAGGATACTCGACCAGTATGGAGCGTTGACAAAAAATCTGAATAGTTCTTTGACTGCCCTTCTCTACATTGTGTCCTTCACTCTCCATTTTTGTGTTGAATAATCAATCTTTCTTGTTCTCACCCATGGATTTATTACCTAAAGTTATTTTCTATTGGATTCGCCCTTTGGTTAAGCGAAAGAATGTTCTGAAATGGCACATTAACACAACTGAAAAGCATACAAGTAAAATGACCATTTGAATCACAGATGTCATCATCATTGTTACAGATTTGTTCTCTGTTGCAATTCCTACAGCGTTTATGACGGGAGCCTTAATCGGATTGGGAGTCATGGTGATCGACAAGCAGCGTGAACTTGCTTATTATCGACAACAAAGTGTTGGAAGTCGGCAACAAAAACTACAAGACGAACATGATCAGCTAATTGCGTTCATGAGTCAAACTCCTGTCATCCCAAAAGATCAAATGGAAGCAATTCCAGTGCCACCACCTCCTCTTGTTTCATAGAAAATGATGAACAGTTTCATGCGGTTTTATCGAAATATCAAACAAATTGTATAAAATTTATTACAGAGCATAAATTATCCTGTTCCCTTCACCGAAAATTCGTTCTTGAGGTACCACCTTGCCCTTTGGGTTCCTCTGCAATGAACAAGAATAATTGGACATTTCAAAAATGGTTCATTCACTACCTAGATGTGTACTCGCCGACTTCTTCTAAAGCGCTTCTCAATTGAGTCTGAATCAGAAGATAGCCATCGATAATGCAAATTCCTTTTACCTGAGGAACCTTAAGCTTCGCCTGAAATTCCTTCAACATCACTCCTTCATCACCCCTTGCCTCAAACATTTTAAATATAAATTCTTTCAGCTGATCCTGCAGGAAAGAAATAATAGAAGCCTGAGTCGCAATGAATTCTCACGTTTGTGATTTTGCTCTTCTGGTCCCTTGATGCGACTGTCGGTCTCATCTTGATATCAGAAACTGAAGACAGAACGTGTTTCATCGCCCAACCAGTAGGTTCCTTACATTCTTGGGGCTGAGCATCTGGATTATAAAATTTGAATAAGTGTTGCTCCCCATCCATATCAAGAGGTGAAGCACGACAGAGCTCAGGGGGTGCTGCTAGAGTGCGATGAGCTGCAAAGAGAGCGTCTCTTGAGGTTGGAATAGAAACACGAACCTGGTTTAGTTGCATTTTCATTTCGCGATTTCAGAAGCGAGCGGTATGATTGATCGAACGAAGGCATTAAGGCACGCGATGCAGCGAGTTTTCCAACAACACGAACTCCAGAGACTCCAGAAAATTCACCCAAAACTGTTTCATCAGATTTTGATTCAGATTCTGATGTTTTTCTACGTTTTCTTGCTTGAATCAAATGGGTGTGAGCGTATGACGACACATCTGGACTCAGACGCAAGGTTTTCACTTTACCATAATCGTGAGCAATAATTTCCTGAACTTCAAGATGTTCTGAATTTCTCACTGCAACACCAATAATTGTATTCGAATCTGAAGACCTCCATTGGGTTGCTAGGCTCGTAGGAACCTAAGACTTAAAATATTGCACACATCTTGCGCCATTAAATGTACCTTGATGACTTGAAATGCTAATGGGTTTTGATTCAGTTCTACTTCAACAGAAGTCTCTGTTGCCTCAAAGAGTTCGTCCTCATTCTCTAAGTCTATTCTTGACATGGACCTGAATATTGACTGTGAGGAACAGTTTACAAAAAAGGGCTCTTAAAAGCCTGATGTTAAGTTCAGAGAATAAAAGGGTCTGTAATGACCAGCTGGGTTCAAGAAACCAGGACCCCGTTTGTTTCCTTCGGGAGGTCTTGGGGGGAAGATCACAAATTACACGACGCGATTACTTTCATGTGCTGGTTCTCTGAAGTGTGATTTCAGCGACATTCTGAGGCAAAAATAGATGAAAATTGAGCCCAAGAACTGACGAGACAGATGAAAAAAGTCCCAATGGGCCAGTGTGCACAACTGAAACTGATGAGGAGAGGTGGTAGCAGTCCTCAGACCAGCAAAAGGAATTCTGTTGCTTTTTTGGGTTTATAGCCCGTTTTTACCCAGAAGAGCGGCGCTAGGTTCTTCATTCAACTATTCGCTCTTCTTTGTTCTAGCCAGTTGCAGCCATTATGGGTGATACAGCAGAATTGTGTCGTTTGTTGGATTGCTTTCTATCAGGAGATAACAATGTTCGCCAACAGGCAGAAGCAACCTTCAACACTTTGAGGCAGACGGATCCCAACGGTTTGATTCGCGGCTTGATTGCGGTGCTTCGTGAGAATTCACAAGAGCATGTTCGACAGCAGGCGGCTGTAGCAATCCGAACCGTTTTTAGGAATTTTTTGATGCATCGTCCTGATTCAGTCTGGGTTCAACTGACTCCTGATACGAAACAACTTTTAAAAAATGAGCTCCTCAACAGTCTCGAAATTGATCCAACGAAGTCAGTGCGTCGCACCGTCTGTGATATCATCGCCGATCTTGCTGCTGAACTCTCGTCAAGCGGCGAGTGGCCTGAGCTCAACGGAAAGTTGATGCAGCTTGTTGAAAGTCCAAAGTTCTCCTGCCAATCTGCTGGTCTCAAAGTTCTTTCTGAGCTTGTCCCTCAATTATCCGAACTGATCCGTAGCAGTATAGCAGGTGTGAGTCGAATCGTAGGAATGTGCGCTAAGAGCGAAGACCCTGATGTCCGCTACGAATCACTCTGTTTGGTTGCCGCAATAGTCCAACATGAACCTCGTTCTGTCTGGAAGCATGTTCAGCATGTTCTCCCTGATCTCATCACTGGTCTGCAAGCTTTGGTTCAGGCTAACTCGGACGAGCTGACAGTGTAAGTGGAAGAAAGTCTTTAACCAGCATATTGTTTGCTCTCTTTAGTGACTTTTTGGTGAAGCTCGTTGAAGTTGCAGATAGCGCATCGTCCTTCTTCAAGCCGCATCTCGCAGCCTTCGTTCAGTGCTTGTTCGGTATTGCACGGAATTCTGGGGCAGAGGATGAAGTGCGACAGATGGCCGTTGAAGTCCTTCTATGCGTCGTTGAAGACAAGCCTCGTATGTGTCTGAGAGTCCCAAACTTTGTATCCGAGCTTGTCCGCATTTTGGTGGAGTTGATGCTCACGATTGAAGAAGACGCAGAATGGATCGATCGCGACGACCCGACTTCTGGCGACACGGACACCACACGGAACTACGATGTCGGTGAAAGTGGACTCGACCGCATCGCGTCTGCAATGGGAGGCGAGAATGTGATGAATGTCATTTTCGGTTACGTTTCCCAATATCTTCGGAGGGAGGAGTGGCAGTACAAACTCGTTGCAATTATGGCAATCTCCCAAACCGCCGAATATCTTCCGGAAGAGGGAATTGACGCCCATCTCGATGAAATTGTCAGCACTCTTCTCGCCCAGCTTACGGATTCACACCACCGTGTTCGATTCGCTGCCTGTCAAGCCATCGGACAGATTGCACTCGATCACCATCCAACATTTCAGAAAAACTACGCCCAAATGATCTTGCCAGCGCTGCTTGTCGTGCTGGACGACCCAGCGCCCCGCGTTCAATCTCATGCAGCTGCCGCCCTTATTAATTTTGCTGAGGAGGTTGAGAAGGCTGATCTTCTTCCATTCGCCGACGCTCTCATGAATAAACTGTTTGAACGTATCCAGCCGACAAAACCGCGCGTGATTCGTGAGCAGTGCGTAACGACAATTGCAGTGATTGCTGGAGTAGTTGAGAAGGACTTCATGAAATATTATACAACTGTTATTCCAGCAATGAAAGAAATCATTCTGAAATCTACATCAAAAGAGGAAAGAACGATGCGGGGAAAAGCAGTTGAATGCATCAGTATCATCGGATTGTCTGTCGGAGCTGAAATGTTCCAATCAGACGCGCACGATGTCATGCAAGCGCTTCTGCAAGTGTCGCTGACGGGATTGGATGCTGATGACAGTCTTAAGGAATACACTCAAGAGGCGTTTTGCCGGATGTGTCGCACGCTGAAGAGCGGATTTATTCCTTATCTGCACGGACTTGTTCCTTCGGTCCTTAAAATTCTTAGCGTCCAGCCTGAAGTCGTCAATAACGATGAGGACGTTGAGGATATGACTCTTGTTAGTATCGCGGGGGGGAAGTATAGCGGGTTGAAGACATCCATTATCCAAGAAATGATTCAAGCAACTGATATGTTAACAACGTTTATTGAAATCCTTGGAGCTCAATTTGGGGAATATCTTGTTCCAAGTGCTCAAGCTGTTCTTCCATTGCTTGGATTCCCATTCAGCGATTCTGTCAAGCGGTCCGCTCTGTCTGCAATGGCGGAAATCTTAGCAGCTGGTCGTGAAGCAAATGCAAATAACCCAGCAGGAAAACAAGCTCTCAGTTTGTGGGTGGGAGAAGTTCTGGAAAAGGTTTTCAAGGATCTCACGATGCCAGAAGATGAACTGACTGATGTGGAACTCATGGTGGCAGAAACAGGAGGACTCGGAAAGTGCTTGAGGAATGCAGGCGCCGATATGTTGAATGCTCAACAAGTTGCAGCTGTTTGTGAGAAAGTTTTTGCATTGATGAGAGAGTCAAGTCAGCGTCGTGCAGAAATAGCCACTCGGAAGCATGATCCTGAATTTGATGATGAGGATATTGGAAGACTAGAGGAGGAAGAAAGTTCAGAGCAAACCCTGAGATCAACGTTACTTGAAATTGTTGCAGCTGTCATGTCGTTCCATCCAGATCTTTATCTTCAAACTGGTGCCGCATTGAGTCAAAAGTTTATTGAAACCAATTTGCACGCAAATTGCTTGCCAGATGATCGGGCGTTAGCTCTCTATGTTTCAGACGACATACTGGAGCACTTAAAGGTCCGTCGATTTCGGGATTGTTGTTCTGAAGGCATTTGGGCTTGTTTGTAGGATCGTGGTGCCGCATTGTGGCCCACCTTCGCTTCACGTCTTATTGAGTCTATTAATGATGCTGACGCTGGAGTCAGACAAGCTGCAGCTTTTGGTGTCATCCAGGTTCGTGTGTTGCCACTTGTGCCAGGTTAAATTTCACGTTTTAGGCGGCTAAATGTAGTCAATTCCCAACAGAATTAATTCAAGAAGCTGCAAAGCGACTTGTAGCGCTTCTTAATGAGGCAAAGTCGCGGGAAAAATCATTCACTTGTGCAACGGACAACGCAATTGCTGCACTTGGTGCTATTGTACTTCATCGGGGCCACTGCTTACAGCCTTCACCTGAACAATATTTGAATTTGTGGATAGCCAACCTTCCATTAAAAGCTGACGACGAGGAGGGTCGAAGAGTTCATGGGGATCTTGTTGACCTCTTAGTAAAGGTGCGTTGGAGCAGATCGGTGTAGTGGTTTAGTAGATCAAGTGGTGTAATGGTTTAGTCAATTGGTGTAATGGTTCTGAATTTTCAGAGAAGTCCGGAAGTATTGGGACCAAACAACGCGAATTTGTCGAAGCTCGCTGCAATTTGTGCATCAATTTATCGTACAGACTTCTCAACAACAAAAATTGACGAAGGCATTAGAGATTTCATGCAAGCGATCGGCTTCGATGTTATTTCATCAATTGGCGCTGGCTTCGATAAAAAATTGCAAAAGGGTTTGGAAAGAATTCATCGTGATGTTGTATCGGATCAGAAGGAGTAACGCGGTGCCGAGTTCGTTTTCTTTGCTTTTCCTGAGTCTAATGCGTAAACAATGTACAAATTTTGCGCATGCTTCCTCATTTTGCATGTCACACCATTTCAACTATCATGCATGACGTGAAACAGAGTCTTGCCGCAAACAAACTGAACATGAGCACGCATCACACAAGCATTTGCATTAGCTTGTTCGTCGGATCAATTATTTTGTAGACAATTTTTGATGCATCTCGAACGTAAGAAGTGAATCCTATTAGTAACTTCATGGCCTGTCCCTGAGAGTAATCAATGAGTTCCGTTCAGAGGAGCTTCCTTGACCAACAGTGAAGTCGTTGACATCCGCTTCTGTTTTTCAATCTCTCTGGTTCGTCGGGCCACCATCAGCACCCTGCCGCTTCAGTTTGGAATCTTTGCTCTACTGATTCAGTAAATATAGGCTCCAATTAATTTTTTTTTATTTGGAGAAATGGATAGAGCCTCATCGACATGTTGAATATGGGACAACACTAGGGGCATGCGAATCTGATTGCCAGTTTGCCTCAATGAGTCGCCTCTTCAATTTAGTCGTTCTGGTTTTTTTGATCGTCAATGTCCAGTGTCATGTTTTTGATGCAACGCCGTTATTTTCGACGATTAGAGATACTCTCCGAAATTGTAGCAGGATTCAGCACGTCAAGAGTGCTTTGAATCGTGTGCGAATACATCGAGGGGACCTGCTGGGGATTAGCGGCAACGTTCTCGTCAGTCCATCTGTCCATGGTTTTATTTCCCCTCCTCCCGGTTCGGTGTCGGCCAACCTCCTCAAGCGATGTGGGAAGCCTTTGATGGGGGAACTTCTAAACTGCGACGCACGCCAGAACTACTGCGTCACTAGCGCTCCTAATATCAACTACGACAACATCTTTCACGTTGTGGCGCCGACGCGATTGAATCATTGGCGTCTGAAGTCGGTTTACAAGATTGCGTTCCAGGCAGCCAAGGGGGGTCAACCAGGTGGAACATTTGTCTTTCCTACAATCGGATCTGGAAGATGGAAAAGACGATTTCATGAGTTTACAGCAATTCCATTCTCGACTTTGCTGAATGAGCTCGTGAACGATCGCTCCAAGTCAAGTGTTGTTTTAAATGTTGGAGCATCTACGAACTCTCTACTGCTTCTCCGGACATACTATGGGTACTCCAAATTCGTAAGAAATTTGCTGGATCAGGCAGAGCTAGTTTGTTTCGGGCATGGGACAGGCAAAGGCACCCGAAACTCGACAGTCCATGGCTTCCAGTCAGGCAGAGGCTTCCAGGCAGGCAGAGGCTTCCAGGCAGGCAGAGGCTTCCAGGCAGGCAGAGGCTTCCAGGCAGGCAGAGGCTTCCAGGCAGGCAGAGGCTTCCAGGCAGGCAATGGCGCCAGAGTCATCCCGCCGAAGATGAGTTCAGAAGAACGACCGTATTTTGACAGACTGACGACATTGTCTACGAGAGCTGGTTTCAAGGATGCCCTAAAGCGAATCAGTTTCTATCATGGGGATATAACGCAAGCCCGAGCTAGTGGTGTTGTTAATGCTGCTAACAAGGACATGGAATTCGTCAAAAGCAGTGGAATCAATCAAGCATTGTATCGCGTTGCTGGTGATGAACTCCAAGCTGCCGGTGTAAAATACAGAAAAACGCATGGAATTCTGAGGACTGGAAATGCGATTCGTACACCTGGATTCAAGAGTCGTTTCAAATTAATCATTCACACAGTTGGACCCATTATTTCTAAAAATTGGCCATCAGACACCGAGTTTTCTCAACTAGCTGAGTGCTATGATAATTCATTCAGAGAACTTGGAGACTATAACGCAATCAACGGAAAATATTCAATAAATTCGATTGCAATTCCAGCAATTAGTACAGGAATTTATAATTTTCCACCTGATCCAGCTTCAACTGTTGCTCTGTCAAGAATTGTAGAAAACTTGATGAAGCCAGAATTTTCTCATGTCCGAGTGGTTTTTAGCCGTTCCGCAAAATCACAGAAAGTATCACGCTCTCATGAATACGTTTGGGTGACGTTTTCGTTTTTCTGCTTGAATTTTTTTGTGTGTATGATGAAACGTCGAGATCAAATTTGAGCTCGATCAAATTTAAGTGTTAATTACCAAGAACAGTAGAGTGATGAGATCCAATGGTGCGTTAAAAAACTATCGTGTCGTCATGTCTTGGTTGAAATAGTTTCCTCGTTGTTGTTGTTGACCCCCTTCTTCATCTTGATCTGTTTCTAATGAAAGACGTTCATCAGTTGAAGTAGTTTCAACTCAACTACCTGGAAATTGAGGAAATGGTTCTTCATTCAGATCAGCGACATCCTCGAAATGAAATGTTGGTTTACGAATAGACATTGTCAACACTGTTCTTCCCACTTGGACAGACAAATCATCTACAAACAAAATCATGTAAAAATAAAATCATACAAAATTGTGAAGCAGTCACGCCTTACGTGTCTCCTCTACTGGCTGCATTCTTCGCAAGGACACTAAAGTCCCAAACTTGGAATCATGATCCTCAAGCGTGAATTCGCCTGGAGCAGGATCATCCAAATTGCTGAGTCACGCCAACGAAAAAAACTAACCGTCAGCAAATCGAATTTTTGCATGCCATCGAGAAATTGAAACATCGGCGATACGGATATCAGATTCATGACCACGTCCCAATTTCAACTCTTTCTTCGCATGCATGCTGACAACATGTAAACCTCTGTTGTTCGTCTGGTGAGATGACATGTGAATTGAAGCCTGCCACTTTCTTTTAAACTTACACCGACATTATTTTCGAGAATGATAAATGGAGGCTCGATTTTGGGAACGCGTACGATCGATACCCGTTCATTATTAAGAATCACTGCTGATGGAAATGCAGCCTTGCACAGCTCGCACTGAAGCTGTTTAAAGAAAAAAGACGCTTTTTGTTGATCATCCTAGAAAAGAACGAAGAAAAATCAATGAAAAATCGAATCAACTTACTGATATTGATAACCGTCCATTAATCCAATGACGCAAGCAATCAAGATGTACGAATTTAATGGATCCTAGAAAAAATAAGAATAGAAGAATAAAAGAATGGAAGAATAAAAGAATGGAAGAATAGAAGAATAAAAGAATGGAAGAATAGGGTGCAATAATAATACACGTGATGGTATACCTTTGCATTGACAAGGACAAAGGAGAGGATCCTCAGCAGTCCCGCCGTCCAATAGACAAATACGACATTGCATTGTGCTCGCTTCTCTGAAAACCATAATAAAAATAATAGTGAATGTTGATGACTTCTCACTCTGGAGTGATGACGGAATGTGGAGTTTCGAGATCATCGAGACGAAGTTCCTAAAAAAACAGAAAACAATATGAAGAACGTTAATCCATTCACACGCCCAAGTTCTAATGCATAGCTTACGGGTAATGCTGCTCCTGATTTAACCAGCTGTTTAACTCTCAATTTAAAACGTCCCAATTTAATAATATCAGATTCTTGTAACTGGTGCTTGCCACTTGGTAATTTCTTCACAATCAGCCAAAGCTTTTTAGGGACGAGTCCAACCGTTGACTGCGCGTTGCGGTCGGCCGGAAGAATCAAGAACTTCCCTATCGCAGAAGCACAATCAATGACCGGCGTTTCCTTTACATCGATAAATCGAGATGATAAATGCAACTGCGCGTCAATCATCATGCCGTCATAGGAGTGCTCTATTTTTAAATACCTTCACGTTCTTTGATCGATAGAAGGAAGTCGGCAGTCTGGCTGGGAAGACTGTGTCCCTCTGGTATAGCTTGAACCTCTAAAGCTGTGCGAAGGACTTTAGCAGCACGTTTTAATTCGTATGCTTTTCTATGAACATGTCGCGCTTCGTAATCAAACAGCTCATGACTGTCTCTCTGCCAAGTTGCTGTTGATAAATAAACGCTACAAGAGGGAAGTGAGATTGGTGCTCCAGATGCGAATCTCACCATTTGTCTTCATGATGACGTGTTGCTTGATTATTCGCTAAACGCCGAGTCTCGGTTGTAACTCCTTGAGCGAATTCAGGAGACATGGCTCCTGCTGTTGGGTGTGACATCGAATTAAACTATGAATGAACTGGAGGATCCGACAATGAAAACGCAATCGTCGTCTAACTCGAGTCGACGAATAGTTGATGAATTAACAAACCAAAATCAATTCTGCTACGCAGAAAAGGAATAACAAAAATAGAGAATGAGCCGTTTAAACTGTTTCCTGGGAACACGAATCAAACACTCGGGTTGAAGAGAATGATAGATTTTATTGCGGGATCAGAACGAAGAACAATAAAATATTAATGAGGGTTTTCCACTAAATTCTGTTGGCAATGGTTGAGATCATCCGCATAGTCATCGTAACGCAAAACAAAAACCAAAGAAATTAATTTCTACTTGCTGCTTGGAGTTTGATCCAAATAGATATGGACGATATTCATGGTTTCAAGATATATGGAGCCGCACCACAATAATGCTATCCTTTCGGAAGGCAGTTCATTTTTGCAAGCTCTGGCCAGACAAAATGACTGTTTTCTCTCCTTTTTTGTGCTCTGCTCGAACAGGTCGTTGTCTTCAAACAGTTGCTTGATAATGGGTATTGAATATGAAGCAAGATAGAAGAGGAGCGCTCCAATGGGAATCAATGAGTTTGATATCTTATCTCCTTTCTCTAGTTGTGAAGCTTGGCAATTTAAGCAGTCACGTTTATTAGTCACTCTTCACTGCTTTCCACATGCACCCGAATTTTATTCCAATCTGAGCTTGAAGGCTTCTTGGCTCAACTTAAGAAATTACAGCGAAAAAAGTCAGAAGCAAAAACGAATGATCTAATGAGTAAGAGAGTCCACTAAAGCTTTTTCCTAGGAGTCCTAGAGAGTTTGGCTTGGAGCTTGTTGTGAACTTTGGGAACTTCTATAATTTTCTTTGACCGCCCTTCCACTTTGTCTTGATGCTTTTTCAAGTCTTCAAGTGTTGGAATGTTGTCGCTGAATTCTTCCAAACTAAATTCATTATTGTTAAAACCAATTCCCTTCATGTTGGATATTAGAATCTCTTCGGCATCATCATCACCTTCAATCTGCTGCTGAATCATCATGTCATCTTCTTCCATTACACGACAATTTCGCTCCTGTTCTTCTAATAGAACCTTTTTCTCTGATGGCAAGGCGCCATCTTTGCATCGAACAACAAGATTAAGAGACAGCTTCTCCTCATCCGTAAAATTTCGTCGACATCCTGTAACGCAAAACCCAGCGAGCGGCAATGCGTCTGCACGGAAGTCAACGGGCGTATGAAGCTGCTTCTGTGGAAAGACCGCTTCGTGGTCATCGGGATGAAGGAATGCATTCTGAGAAAAAGAAAAGCGTATAAGATCTCATGCAAGATCGTAAATTACTTTTGGCCTTGGCGTCGCTATTGCAATTCCCTGTTGGAGTTTTTTAACGTTGTCGTGGAGTGCGTTTATTCTGGTTGTGTGGATTGTACCTAAAATTGAAAATGAGTTTTAAATTCATTTCTTCCATCCCACGGAGTTTTTTTTGAGACTCACCATCTACGAAATGCCTTTTCGCTCTTCTATAACGCTGCTTCACTTTTGATCTTAAACTTTTTGCCATTTTTTTCGAAAGAGCCTGCTTCAGTCCACCCCTCTTAAGACAGGCGAATCTGTCCCTTCGTGGGTGAGCGTACCAGGCTCAACAGAACTCCATATGAGTACCGCAATGGAGGACGTCACTCCCTCTAGTGAACAGACTCAATCATCCTCATCTTCATCTTCAGCTGTTGGAAAGCGATTTGAGATTAAGAAATGGAGCGCAGTGGCGCTATGGGCTTGGGATATTGTCGTTGATAACTGTGCAATTTGTCGCAATCATGTTATGGAGCTCTGTATAGAGTGTCAAGCTCAAGGTCCTCAAGCACATCAAGAGGATTGCACTGTTGCTTGGGGTGTATGCAATCACGCGTTTCACTTTCATTGTATTTCGCGTTGGTTAAAAACGCGTCAAGTGTGTCCACTAGATAATACTGATTGGGAATTTCAAAAGTATGGAAAATAGCTCAACTTTGTCGTCTTTTATACTTTCAAATTTCTTGGTTTTTCTCGTGGAGAGATATGAGACTTGAATCGAACATGTTTTACGTAACAAGCTGCTTAAATCCTGGTCCCTCCTTTTCTGTGAATTGATGTCGATGGTGTACCAGTGTCAATTTTCGACCATCCACTAAGAGACCTGACTGAATCTCTGTCTATCGGTCAGGTCACAAGGGATATGTCCCAACCGGGAGCAAGTGCATCGACTGGGATTCCCACAGTCGCTGATGGGACAGGGATTTTGGGATCCACAAGTTACCGTTTACTTTCTGATCGTTCGTATGAAAGACGGAAACAGGCAGGAACCGAAATTGAGGAGGCTGTGAGAGAGTTCATTAAAACAACAAAAAATGACTTGGAAACGCGCAACAGAGTGAGTAGAAACACGCTGACGGAACAAATGCGGTTACTTCGATCTGATGTTTGCTTTTGCAGGAAATTAGTAAGATGATCAATCTTCTCTCAAGGGAATTTTTGACTGCTTCTCAAGCCAGCACAAGGAAAGGGGGATTGATTGGTTTGGCCTCTACTGCGATTGGATTAGAAGTAATGAATTCTTGATTATCCTGCTTGATTCTTCTCCTTAGTCTGTTGATATCGGTCCATATCTTGAATCTCTGATTACACCAACAGTTTCAATATTCACTGATCCAGAGCCGCGTGTTCGTTATTATTCTTGTGAAGTAAGCATTCATGATTACCGAAGAATTCACTCTTTCTATTGAAGGCAATGTTCAACATATTCAAAGTTGGTCAGCTTGGAATTCTCTCAAAATTTCAAGAACTCTTTGATGGTGTTTGTTTGGTACGTTGGACTTCAAATTCTAATGAAACCATTTTTCCATTCTAGTTATCGGCTGATGTTGATGTTGATGTTCGCCATGGGGCTCAACATTTAGATCGTCTACTCAAAGACATTGTTCTCGAATCGTGAGCATCATTAATATATATATTTAATTATAATCATCATTTCAGATTATCACGTCAAGACACTTCAGGTGTTCCATCCATTGATATTCCCAGCTTGATTGATGCTATACGTGAACGTCTCATAGTTCCATCGCCGTACATCAAACAACTGATGGTAAATTCGAACGTATCATCTAATGTTATCTTTCATTGATTGAGTAGCTTTCTTGGGTCAGTATTTTGCCGACAGCTCCCGGTAAGTGCGATTGAACTCAGCAATCCAACTCCCCAAATTCATCTTTATTCTTAAGAAGTGGATCTTCTCGTTCTTCTCGTTAATCTTTTAAGAGAACTCCTGATGCTTCTCAGTGACTCTAATAGGCGAGTTCCATCAATCGTTGCTTTATTTCATGAAGTTGTTTCTCTTTCAGCAGCATCAGACAAACAGCAGATGCAATTCTCAATTCCGCTTTATCAGACGTGAAAGCAAGAGTCTTCGCGCGTAAGACATTCATCTTCTACATTAATATGAAATGTCACTGTGAAGACGACGTGGACGCACTTTTTTGTCCAGTCAGCATTCTGTCTGTTTTTCAGGTTCGGATATTCCTCTACTTACTCGTACCACTCAAGTTGCTTGTGTCACCTGCCGCACATCTGTCGCTAAACCAACGGCATTAGCTGCATCTCGCTGGCTGCATGAAATTCTTCTCTTAGCAACAAATCGCAACACGACTGATCCAAATAATTCTCCAATTGAATCAGGATCAATTGCAGATTCACGATCAGGTTAATATTTAGTTGTTGCTTTATTCAGACTTTCCATCTCAGAGATTGTCACATCCGCCTTGGATCCCCTTCTATCGGATTTGTTGGCGTCGGTTCTGTCGTGTTTGGCCGATTTTCCTTCAGTTTCAGGTAAACCATACAATCATATTTCAATATTCTCAATCTTTTCGTTTTTTCTAGAGATTTCTAAGATCTCAGTTGAATCGCATGCTCTTCTAACACCAATTATTCTACACACACCCCTTGATCGCTATTCGATCTCCTCAGCTATTGAGCGTCGTTCTCGACACTCTTTGCACTGCGGACAACAACGCTGGACGTCGTTTACGTCATTCCCCATTAGCATTCGAAGATGGGAAGGACTTCATTCGTCGTCGATCAGGAGGAGATTTAATGGAGACGTGGAAAGGCGAATTCTGCAGTGAAGAAGTTGAGAATAGGAAAGACACTCGACCTTCTCCTCTGCGTAGCCATACATCCAAATTTCTGAATCGAGAGATTACAAGTTCAACCACTCTCCGTCGAAGAACGCTTCTAGGGATGTCTGAAAACGATCGCGATGAACTCGCAGAAGAGCGACTCAGATCATTCAGTTTATACTGGCTGGCTGTTTTGACTTCTTTGAGGTCAGTCCATTGAAAGCCTTTGTTGCACGAGAGTGATGATATGATTTATTTGTTCAGTCAAGACACACAACAACTCCCAGTGCATGACATTTTCACAATTGCGATTTCATACACCCGCCATTCAAAGGCGGCTGTCTCTTTTGCAGCTCTGCGACTTGTTGCTTCAATCTGCCATCGTCTACCAAATCTTCATCAGCAAGTAATCCAAGAACTGTTGATTCAATTCTGCGCCACATCATCCAAACATCTTGTTCTAGTGAGTTCATTGTCTCGGGCTAGCGATCATCTTTCCTATTTCAGGACGATAAGAACAGAAAAGTTGTTCGGGAGCTTTCTGTTTTATTGGGACCAAGAAAGCTCTACCTCGAAGTTGCTCGTACTTTGCTTCGATTGATCAACCAAGCTTCCATTGATTTCTCTGATTCAAGTTCATCAGTTTCAACTGCAATTCATGAACATCAAATTTCTATTGGAGAAACTGCTTCACTCCATCGAACTCCACCACGCTGTCGTTCAGAATCCCCACACTCTCCAAATGATCCTTGTCACTCCAGTCACTTAGCAGCAGACTCATGCCGTACTCTTCAAGATCATCACCCTGATACCGCTCCTCTTCTATCTTTAGATGATGCATCGGAGCTTGTTCGAATGATGAATTGGGTTCTATTGACGTCCGTTGAAACCGCTTCATTCAGACGAGACCTACAGAATGGTATAACAACATCGATCACCCATTCTAAATTTGCTATTTTAGGTCGTGAAGCTGAACTGTTCCAACCTCTGCTCTGTGCTTGGTAATTCAGCTTTTAGACCAGCAGCTCATGATTCGCCTCTCAGGTTCAACAACCCCGTGGCTTCGATAGCACTTTGCCTTTTCGTGAGTTGTTTCCTCTTCCTTCGTTTTCTCAATTCTCTTCAGGTCGGCGAAGATGAAATTGCTCTTCAATTGATTCGAATTTGGTGAGATAATCAAAAAAATCAAAAAAATTTACCCATTGGAAAATTTCCTTCCTATCAGCGCTGAGTTTGAGCCTTCTGTCGATTTGTTTGTTCAATTCAATCAATTAATCCAATTACTTGATTCACCTATTTTCGCCTTTCTAAGACTTAAACTCACTCGTCCCTCTGAGCATCCCGTTCTTATAGAAGCGCTTCTTGCTCTGTCTCAGTTGCTTCCCCACAGCAATGAACTGGATACATTGACAAGAAGATTAGAACTCTCAAGAATTGGTAAGCGACTCCCCGAATTTCTCTTCAAATTTCTTTTGTTTTGCTGTAGCAATATTATTGGAGCCTCTTAGGAAGACCCGGTCTTTGCCCGTCAGTTCCACATATGATTTGGATCAAACTGTTGTCTTTGAAGTACTCGAAAACGTCGTGAAGCGGCACAAATCAGCCTCACGTGAGTATTAAAGGACCATAGAATTCTAATAGGTGTCATCAAACCCGCCTTTCATACCGTCGTTCGTTTTTGTGCATTTCAGCCGCCAGTCAGGAAAACCAACGCTCGATTTCTGCAATGGCAGTAGCAGAATTGATGGCGCTCTCATCTGGATTCTCGAGATGATTCACGATTTCCTCCAACACCATCGAGGCGATGAGAACCGCTCTCCATCCTCTTTCAACGGATCTCACTGGCAAAGAGCGGAAACGAGTGGCGCATGAAACCAGAAGCGATTCTCAAGTCGCGAACGAACAGAAAATCATTGATGGAGCAAAAGACAATTTCTTAGAATCAGAGCTTATTGATCCGGATGGGGTTCTTCCTCGTGTATCAACAACAAGTGCAATTCCCGACGCCCATGAACACTCTGAGTTTTCATCACGACGAGGAACACCTTCAAGACCAAGCAGTCCCACGTCTTTAAATCAATTGGTTAAATGGACAGAACAACTGATCATCAGACAGTGATGCGCCAGCCATCGCACCATTCTTTGATCTTATTTGGTGATGGAACACGTCAAAGCGATGTCGGACGCGAAGAATCACGATCAGACGAAGGAAGTGCGCAACCATCAAAAAGTGAAGATCACCAAGCTGGAAGTGCATCATCATGGTCGAGCTATGGAGGGGTTAGTGTAGTAAACATATGACTGATGTAGAATGGCTCAATTTTTCTGTTAAAGAGCATTTGAAAACAGGAGAGATGATTCATGGACTCAATAATGGATGAGATGATCCACTAGATCAATAATTCAGAAGTTGCTTGGATGACCCAGTTGGATGACCCAGTTGGATGACCCAAAATGGTGCATCATGGAAGAAACGTTGGCAGCGGACAATGGAGAATTATTTTGGACGGATTCAAAGCAACAGAAAGCGCCATCACAAATCGTCGGAAGGGGTGGCATCAACTGTTGAAGCAAGAGAGCTTTCTTCATCTCTTTTGTCAACTTCGTCGTTTAAACATGGTTCAGTAATTATGGAGGTCATTGAAAATTCTCCGGATGATGTTGCAAAAAATTGTGCATTTTCATTCGGGCCAGTGCCGTTCTGATCTCCCCCATAGCCTTCAACGCGGAATTCTACATCCCTTATTTCTTTCATGATATCCGGAGAAGGTTCGGCGATCAATTGATTATTATTGCCATGCTGCATCTCGAGCTCCCCCAAACCCTCGTGTAAAAGAAGCAAAGCAAT